ATATATACATTACATTACGTAAAATGTATTTATAAAACCCATTTATGAGCCTTCACAACTTTTAATCTTAAGTTTGTTACAGGCACAATACAATATTGTTTTTTAATGGTTTATTTAATAGAAGCACAAAAATTCAAACCTGTTCAAATGGAAACAAAAATAAAAACAAACACTGACAAAACTCACCCACCAATACTTGAACTGACACACCAACTTAGTTCTGTGACTAACCCCGTTGCAGACTCAGAGGTATATCAAATTAACTTTGATCAATCTAATTGTAGCTTTGTTGATAATCGTATTCTACATAAGAGCGGACATGGATATGATGTTTGTAAAGGATACAATGAGTTATGTTATTGAGCCATACAGTATAGGTAATTTATCATTTTCAAAAGGAATATTTCCAGAAAATATGAAAGTGGCTAAGGTAGTTCCTCTTTTTAAGAATGGTGATAAATGTGTGTTCAATAATTATAGACCAATATCCATGTTGCCACAGTTTTCAAAAATTTTAGAAAATTTATTTGTGATCAGATTAGATCAATTTATTGCTAAACAAAATATTCTAAGTAGCAGTCAGTATGGGTTTAGAGCAAAAACCTATACATCATTGGCTCTCATGGAATTGATAGAACAAATAACAACTGCTGTCGATCAAAAACAATATTGTGTTAGTATTTTTGTTGATTTAATGAAAGCATTCAATACTATCGACCACACTATTCTCCTTGAAAATTTGAATAAATATGGCATTAGAGGACTAACACTACAGTGGATAGCTATTTGAAAGATAAGAAACATTTTTTACAAATAAATGATGTAAGATCAGACCTCTGTAATATCAGATGTGGAGTTCCTCAAAGTTCTGTACTTGGACAAAAGTTATTTATTTTATATGTGAACGACTTGGTAAATGTGTCAGGACTCCTTCAATGTGTTCTATTTGTAGATTATACCACTTTTTTTTGTTTGGGTAAAGATATAGAACGGATGTTGGAGTTGATGCAGACAGAATTTGTAAAAATACAAACTTGGTTTAAACTTAATAAATTATCATTAAACTTAAATTAAACTAACTATATGATATTCAGTAATACAAAGAGAACTGTTGATATTCTATTTAAAATTGAGGGTGTTGAGATTTGTAGAGTTAGTGAGGTGAAGTTCTTGGGTGTTATCATTGATGGAAAGCTGACAAGGAAACATCACACGTCACGTAAGAATAAAAACAATAGCTAAATCTATTGCAGTACTGTACAGAGTAAGGGAGTTATTAAATGATAAAGCTCTGTATATGTTGTATAACGCAATAATTGTTCCACACTTTTTTTTCTTTCGTCTGCTCCCTGCTTTAGGGGTCGCCACAGCGAACTACGTCGCACGAAGACTTGGCAGTAATTCTTACAACGGATGCCCTTCCTGACGCAACCACAGACCGCCAAGCTACCACAGCCCTCTGTGTGGAGCAGAGAGCTGCTATCTAGGACACCCAGAGGAGCAGATGGTGGGGGTTAAGGGCCTTGCTCAACGGCCCAGAGTGGGACGAATGAGGGTAAGGGCAGGTGTGGGTGCTTCACCTACCCTACCCACATTTTTGATGTTGTCGGTACCGGGGCTTGAACGGGCGATCTTCCGATCGCAGGCCCATCTTCTTTAACCTGTGCGCAACCATTCCCATAGAATAATTGTTCCACACTTAATCTATTGTATTGTTGTTTGGAGGAAAGCAGGCAAAACAATTATAAATCCTATTTTTGTTTTACAGAAAAGAGCAGTAAGAATTATTACTAGAAAGCATTTCAGTCACCCATCAAGTACATTATTTTATCAGCTGAAGTTATTGAAGTTCCATGATTTGGTAGATTATAGTATTTTATCAGTTATGTATAGGGCTCATAATAACACATTACCGTTAAATATCCAAACAAATTTTATTAAAAGAGAGAGTTAATATAATCTCAAGGGGATAGAGATATTTGTGAAACCTAAATTTAGAACTAGTTTGAAAGGACGGTCTACTTCAATCCAAGGCATTAGATTATGGAAAAATCTGGAGAGTGATGTTAAAAATGCCAGACCAATGTTTATCTTTAAGGGAATGATCAAAGTTGATTTGTTAAAAAGAAAATATGAAATAGCTTAATGTGTACTTGTATGAATTGTTGCTCGAGAATGAGTTATTTATTTTGTTTTTGTTATTTGAAGATTAATATTGTTTGAATTTTTTTTTGGTTAAAAGGGGCAGATATAATAAGATTTTTTTCTTCTTTCTGCTGCCTTTCATTTTATTTGTGATTGTATTTCTTCTTGTATATAGAAATGTTTTGGTTTGTTTTAAAAAATGAATAAACTTTATAATTAAAAAAAAAATTCCTATTAGTATTTACCTCAGTCAATTTTTTTTTCCTCTTTCGGCTGCTCCCTTCTTCAGGGGTCACCACAGCAAACTAAGTCGCACGAAGACTTGGCAGTTATTTTTACACCAGATGTTCTTCCTGATGCAACCACAGACCACCGAGCTACAACAGCCCTCTGTGTGGAGCAGAGAGCTGCTATCTAGGGTACGCAGGGGACCAGATGGTGGGGGGTAAGAGCCTTGCTCAAGGGCCCAGGGTGGGGCAAATGAGGGTGGGGGCAGGTGTGGGTGTGTCCCCTATCCCGCCCATATTTTGATGTTGTCTGTACCAGGAGTTGAACCGGCGATCTTCCGATCACAGGCCCACCTTCTCTAACCTCTGCGCCACCACTCCCCATTTTAACCTCAGTCAATCACCATGGTAGCTCGCAGTCATCAAGATGCTTCAAGATGCTTGATGTTGCATAAACATGTAAAGTTCTTACACAAATTTAAACAATCCACGAGTTTTCAGCATCTTCATATGAGAATGTGTTGAACATGTAAAAGGACCAAAGGATTGTGGTGCCTATAGGAGGCATGAGGATTATCTAGTAGCTGAGTAAACAAATGACAGAAAAGACATTATTTGAAACGGAGTTAAAAACTCATGCTACAAAATCATCTGAAAATGAAGTTTAAACATAATAAAATATTAATTGCACAATTTCAGACTGTAAAACTTTTTAACTCTTTTCATTAGTCAGACAAATGCAAAATTATTATTATTATTATTGGAACGCTTGGTTTGTTGTTGTTTTAAAGATGTCTGGACATATGTTCTTGTTTTTAAAAGATGGTTTGAGTTCTCCTTTTTATCTCAGTTCAAACTGAAACATGCAAAATCCCAAGTTTTAAAACGTTAGTGAGCTGAACTCACATGCAAACCACTTTCCCTCCTCTCCTTCCTGAGGGTTGTTAGGGTATCCTTGCCTTGATCCACATAAGAGAAGTTTTGAGCAAATTCATGAAGGTGAAAACTGGAATGGAATTAAAACAGATGTAAAGAGTCCTTTTGACTTGTAATCAATGACTATAGACATCTAGTCTTTGCATACTGATCATCACAGCAAAATCTAATTATTATTATTAAGACAAAACTTTGATGATTTGGTCACCAGCGTCTGAAAATATTTCAGTGATTAGAACACCATAAATGTATGCTCATAGACACAATATTGAGCCTTTTTTTATTAAATAATACCAGCTGATGACATCATGCACAATACGACCTCATTGTTAATGGTTTTAAATGAGATTTTAAACAGGTGCTCCCTCACTGAACATCCAAACTCTGCAGGGGGTCTCGTCCACTCATGCACACACTCATATCTCCACCCCCTGCTGTAGAGACGGATAGATATATTCCTGTGTCCTCATGGGGAAACTTTGCGTTTGAATATATAGATATGCAGCAGATAGAAGACTTTCCTGAGCGCACGTAGCCCAGCTGAAAATACGTATAAATATACACAGGATATTGATTCATTGACTTTCTGTGGAGGCAACCAGAGTTAAACACAAACACCCCACATCTGACACGAAGATAAAGACAAGTCAGGGCCTCTCTCTGCATCGCAACAGTGAAGTCGCAGAGGTCACAGCTTAGTTTCCACATCAAACCCAGGAGCAGAGGCCATAGTCTCATCCCCCACCACCACCTTTTTTTGTCTCCTCCCTCTCTCTTTTTTACACAGCCATCCTCTTCACACACATACACACACAACTCTCCTCCTCCTCCCTCGCTGGATGTACAAATGCCTTTGCTGTCAGCTCTGCCCCAGACCCCTGTAATTGAAAATAACAGCCAGGGGCCAGCCCCGGCCACTCTCCCCTGCCTGGTGGCTCTCTGCCTTGGTGACAGCCACCCATCAATACCAATGACTATTACCCCTGGAAGTGAGAGCGCTGCCGATGACATCCAAGACACCACCCCGTGCAACACTCCCGCACACACTCACTCTATTTCTCTTTCTCACACACACATACACACACACCCCACTGTCCTTCCTGTGCTACCCGAGCCCTCCTAATGTTTAACCCATTGCTAACAGCCCTGTCTTACTCGGTGTCAAAGCCAGTCTCTCACACGCACCACAGTGTTCCACCAATACGACATGCACGAAACTCTGACAAGCAGCAAACTTTTTGTTCTTGGCTGAGAAGTGTTGTGACTTTTTTACAGTCTCATGTGCCCCATCAGGGACACTCGGTCAGTCGGTGTGATGCTAGAACACTTCTCCACTTCTGAAGTTGCCTTGGACTCATGAGAAACAGGATGTTTAAAGCCCAACCGGTGCCGGCACTAGAAAGTCCAGATGCTGTACAGTCACTTTGTTCCTGACAGCCTATATATGAACTCACATTGAGAGTAGGTGTTTTATGTCCAGTGACAATCAGTCAGGGGGTCTCTTGTCCAGACTCCCCCCACACCCTCCAGTGACAGACACCAAACACAATGTGATAGGTGATCTGAGTTGTCATCTGCTTTGACAGAGGAATGACAGCTGAATGAGACACGTAGAGCACAAAGCATAACAGTGACAAACGAAGCGCACGCACACATCAAGCACAGGAACAGGACAAGAGAAAATACACAAACCTTGTCAAAAGCTGCAGAGCCGTGGAGACTGTTCTCCTTTCTATAGTCCTCTCTGTCTCGTCTCCTCCTCTCCCTCTTTTCTCCTCTCACTCTGGTGAATGTGAGTGTCTGTGTGTGTGTGTGTGTATGTGTGTGAGGGAGAGAGAGTGTGTGTGAGTGTGGAGCAGCTCCCTCCCCTTCTGCCTCTCAGCTGCTCAGCTCAGGCAGTTTCAGGAAATGAATGGGGAGCGCACAGAGAACTGTTGTACTTGCAAATGACTTACCCAGAGTCACATGATCTGCTAAATGTAGGGTGGGCCAGTGGGTGGAGGCTTCATAAGCAAAGAAAAAAAAAAGGAAGACAATATACTCTAAGCTTTAACAGCATGCATCGAATTACACATGGGGCCCCTCCGGGGAGGTTTACGACTCGTCCATTCTCCAACCAGTCCAAACTCCCTCTGTGGCCCTCAAGGAGAGTGTCAGGCTGAGTGGGTGTGGGGGGCACTGCAACACCTCCCAGTATAAAGGGAACAGAGAGGAAAAGGAAGGGACAAATTTACTCTACTTCTGTATTTCTGAACTCCTTGTGATGGTTTTTTTTTTACTGCATAACAGCGATTATTCATTTAATTCTTAGGCAAATTAATAAGTAACTTTTTTTCTGATTCTAAAATGAAATGTGAATTTTAAAATGTTATGTCATAATCTTGTAATTTCAGTGCATTTGTAATTTTGAGAGTAAAAAATCTTATGGTGGAATTTAAATGCATATTTTACTGCTAAAACATTGATTTTAAAAGGAAACTTTTTTTTTTATTTTGGAAATGAAAATATATATTTAGTGTCATTATTAGTTATAACTTACAGGCTTGAAAGTTTGTAGGCTGAACTGTCATCAAGAATAAAAGAAAATAATGTAAAAAAATTATAGTCATGCATACGCGTACAAGCACACACACATATATACTATAAATACATACATATATATACACACACACACATATATATATGTAGGTAGGTAGGTAGGTAGGTAGGTAGGTAGGTAGGTAGGTAGGTAGGTAGGTAGGTAGGTAGGTAGGTAGGTAGGTAGGTAGGTAGGTAGGTAGGTAGGTAG